GAGATGGATGAAAGTTAATGGCAAAAAAAAAAAAAAAGAAAAGAGAAGAAAAGTAGAATAACAAGAGAGCTTAGGAGGAAAGGTTAGAGAATGAGGTATTTGGGAGAAAAAGGACTTTAATATTTTCTTACATATTCTTGGGGATCCAAAAGTCCATACATGTACACAGAGATGTGCACAGGCTCAGAGAAGACCTTTGTAGGCCCTCAACTCACATCTCTGACTGACTTTTACACTCTGTAGAAGCAGGAAGTGAAGGTTAAGGCAGAGTTCAAAGAGTTCAAACTGCCTAGATGACTGTTAGAGGCATGCCTCAGCACACACACAGAGCTTGACAGCAAACACTGCCCAGTCACTAGCCAATTACTAAACCAACAGAAAAGGACATCAGTGACCAAACATGACAAAGTGTACAGATTTTACAAAGTAGTTCAGAAAATAACTAAACCAAAAATTAATGACAATATATAGAAGAAAATAAACCCAGGGGAGGGAAGATAATTAGATCCCCAGAGTTTTCATGTTATAATATTATAAATGTTCAGTTTTTAACCAAAAAGTTATGAGGCATGTAAATAAATAAGAAAGTATGGCTCATACACAGGAAAAAAAATTAATAGAAGCTGTCCTAGAAGCTCAGACATTGAACTTAATATTAGGTTGATGCAAAAGTAATCGCAGCTTTGCACGGTTGAAATTTTTTGCTTGATATTGAATACATTCTTAAATAAATATGGTTATGTTATATATCATTTCTCGCTTTATTTTGTTTTGCTAATGACTTACTTGCTGTTATTTTATATGTATTTTAGACTGTGTAAAACATGTTAGACAAAGAGCAAATTCAAGCAATTTTCTTCTTTGAGTTCAAAATGGGTCATAAAGCAGGAAAGACAACTAATAACATCAACAATACACTGACCCAGGACCTGCTAATGAAGGTACAGTGCAGTGGTGGTTCAAGAAATTTTTCAAAGTACACAATAGCCTTGAAGATGAGAAATGTAGAGACCAGTCATGGGAAAGCGACAACAACCAATTGAGAGCAATCATTGAAGCTGATCCTCTTAAAACTACACAAGAAGTTGCGAAAGAAATTAACATCGACCATTTTATGGTCACTCGGCATTTGAAGCAAGTTGTGAAGGTGAAGGAACGCATTAAGTGTGTGCCTCATAGCTGACCAAAAATATCATGTTTTGAAATGTCATCTTCTCTTATCCTACACAACAATGAACCAATTCTCTGTTGGATTGTTATGTTCAAGAAAAAATGGTTTGTCTGATAAGAAGCTCCAAAGCACTTTCAAAGCCAAACTTGCCCCCCAAAAGATCATGGTCACTGGTGGGTCTGATCCACTATAGCTTTCTGAATCCTGGTGAAACCTTTATATCTGAGAAGTATATTCAGCAAATCAATGAGATGCACCAAAAATTGCAGTGCCTGCATCAGGCATTGGTCAATAGCAAGGGCCTAATTCTCCATGATGACAACATTTGACCGCACATCCCAACATTTCAAAAGTTGTACAAACTGGTCTATAAAGTTTTGCCTCATCTACCACATTGACCTAAACTCTTGCCAACTGCTAGCCTCATCCAAATGGACAATTTTTGATCCTCTGTAGTTTGCAAGTCTCTTCGCAAGGACAGAGAAATCATGATAAGTAAAGTATGACTGTAGTATAGCTGCCACACACAATCTGATGGGCAACAGTGACACTAACAGGTGTGATGTCAGTCAGGCCAGGACAAGAGCCTCATGTTATAGTTGTGTACCTGTTTTTCTATTTTTTAAAGAATTAGTTATTTTATTTTAAATTATCATTCTTTTCACATTTGATCAGAGAGAGAGAAAAGGAAAGTGAGACAGCAAGCTGCCAGGTCTGGCCCTTGAACTGTAGTCACCATGTGGGAGTCTAGCCCCTCAATCACCATGCAACTTGCTGGCCCCTGTTGTGTTCCTGTTTTTATCCTCCCCTTTAGGTAGTAGGTTTACTAAGGTCAAAGACTGTATTTTGTTTTTATTTGCAATTTCCATAATTGGTATGTACGTCAGCTAGATGCAGGCATGGGAGGTGTATAATGTATTTGACCTTGAATGAGTTATTTCATTTAACCCCTTAAACAATCCTAAAAGACAATGCATGCTATCTCTTTTACAAGTAAGAAAATTGAGGCTCTTAAATATCATCTAACTCATAAATGATGAATTGAAATGTAAACACCTGTTTTAGTTTTAGCAGATTTTTCTACTTTTCTTTCTTTGTAATAATTTTTAATGCTGTCATTTATTAATTAGTTTGTTTGTTTGTTTGTTTGTTTATTTATTTATTTATTTATTTATTTATATTTGACCAGATAGAGACAGAGTAAGAGAGAGAGGGAAAGTAAGAAAGCAAGCCATCAGGTCCAGGACTACCACTTCTTTTTTGCAGGGAAAATGCTTCCACAACCAGCAGGATGCAGAAGATGCTTTCTAAGAGTTCATCCAGTCCCAAAGCACAGAGTATTTTTTAAGAGAGATTTTTGCTGTAGGGCACATGCGCTCACCATAGAGACAGAAAGATGGAAAGCAAGAAATGATCCCCCCAGGGGGATGGCCACACCACAATTCCTTCTCCTCCATTCTCCTCTTGGAATCTTAGGCATGCATGCATATGTGCCCAGTGTGAGGGTTTTTTTGTGTGTGTATTAATATTTATTTATTTTTATATTACATTTAATCAAATATATTTTCATAGTGTATTACATTTCTATTTCCAGCATGATTACCAGAATCAGATTACCATGCATATCAGTCAAGACAAAGACATTACTATCTACATCACCAGCAAATAGCTTTTCATCATATTTTTTCAGATTATTGTTATTATTTATTCTCTTTATTTTTAAAAAATTAATCACTATATGTCATTTGGCTTGTAAAGATAATATATTCAACATGAAATATTCTCAGAACAGTCCAGTTGAGAATATTATATATGTTATCATCAACAGGTAATAAACCATTTCTATGTCCCACTAATGTCATGTCTCTCTATTTGTTCTCTTGTTATCCTTCTCTATACTGTTCTCTATAATCTATACTCTCCTCCCCAACCCCACATTCCACACTGTCTTCAGCATCCGTAAGTATTTTCACTGCTTTTATGCCCTCCAATATTTCTATCTCTACCATAAAGTGACGACAGTCATTGTACATTAAGTGGATACATACGATATCTTTCTTTTCTTTCCCTGGTTTGTTTCACTCAGCAATAGCCCTTCCATATTCGACCACTTTCTATCTAATGCCAAGATCTTGTTTTTTTTTTATGGCTGAATAGTTTTCCATAGAGTATATGTGCCACACATTTTCCATCCATTCATCTGATTGTGGACATTTGGATTGGTTCTACATCTTAGTGATCCTGAATTAATGCTGCAATAAACATTCATGTGCAAGTGCCTTTCTGACTGAACATTCTCCTGTCCTTTGGATAGATATCTAGAAGTGGGATTGCATAGCAAATGGTAGTTTTATTTGTAGATCTTTGAGGAACCTCCAAATGATTTTCCACAGTGGCTAAACCAGTTTATACTCCCACCAACAGTGTAGGAGAGTTCCCCTTTCACCAGATCCTGCCAACACTTATCACTTTTTGTAATTTTAATCTTCACCATTCTGACAGGGGTCAGGTGGTATCTTATTGTGGTTTTAATCTGCATCTCCCTTATGATGAGGGATGTCTAGCATTTCCTCATATGCTTTTTCATTGTCCATATGTCTTCATTAGAGATATTTTTGTTCAGCTCATTTCCCAAATTATATTTTTTTTTTTTTTTTTTTTTTTTTTTGGTAAGCCTCTTGAGTTCCTTGTATATTCTGGTTACCTAGTCTGAGGCATATTTTACAAAAATATTCTCCCATTCTGAGGTTTGTCGATTCACACTAATTACTGTGTCCTTTGCTATGCAGAAACTTCTTAATCTGAAATAGTCCCACTTGTCTATATGAGGGATTATTGCCTCTGCTTTGGAAGTCTTATTTAAGAAGTATTTGCCTTCCCCAATGTCTCCCAGAGTTTATTCAGTATTTTCCATGTGGTTTTTATCTTTCTTTCTGTTAATATGGTGTATTATATTTATGGTCTTGTGATGTTGAACCACCCTTCTATCCCTGGAATAAAGCCTACCTGGTTGTGATGAATAATCTTTGTTATATATTGTTGGATACAATGTACAAGTATCTCACTGAGAATTTTTGCATCTATATTCATCAGAGAATTGGTCTATACTCCTCCTTTTTTGTCATGTCTTTATCTGTTTTTAGAATAAGGATGATGGAGGCTTCATAAAATGAATTTGGAAGATTTTCTTCCTTTTGGATCTTTAGGAATAATTTGAGTAGGAGAGAGAGGTTAACTCTTCATCAAAAGTTTTGTAGAATTCAGAAGTGAAGCCATCCAGACCTGGTTTTTCTTTGTTGGATGGTTATTTATTATTGATTCAATCTCATGGCTTGTTATGGACCTATTCAGGTTTTCTGTGTCCTCCTGATTCAGTGTTGGTAGATTCTATGCATACAGGAATTTGTCCATCTCCTCAATCTTCTCTTGATTGATGGCTCATAGTACAATCTAATGATGTTTTGTATTTCTATTGTATCTGTTGTAACATTGCCTATTTCATTATGTTTCTTTCTTTCTTCTTTATCAGTCTAGCTAATGGTGTGTCAACCTTGTTAATCTTTTTTTTTTAAAAAAAAAACAGCTTTTGCTTTCATTTATTTTCTGTATACTTCCTTTATTTTCTATTTCATTTATTTCTGCTTGAATCTTTATTATTTCTTTTTGCCTGGCTTTTGTTGTTTTTGTTGTTGTTTTCCCAATTCCCTGAGGCATGATGCTAGGTTGTCTATTTGCCACCTCTCATCTTTTTCTTATGTGCACTGATTGCTATGAATTTCCCTCTTCTGACTTGTCCTATTGATTATGGAAAATCATGTACTCATTATCAAAAAATATGGAATGCTTCACAAATTTGTGTATTGTCCTTGCACAGGGGACATGCTAATCTTCTCTGAATCATTCCAATTTTAGTATATATGCCGCTGAAATGAGCACACGCTCAGTGTCAGTTTTAAGTCACCAGTTCTGGGACTCAAACTGCAGTTGACTATATGGGAGTCCAACGACATAACCATCATGCCATCTTCTGGTTCCCCCAAAGTATGAATTTTTTTCTATGGGGATGAACAAATTTATTTCTCATTGGCAAAAATGTGTTGACTATAATGGTTCCTATTTTGATTAATGAAGATGTGTTTGAGCCTAGTTAAAATGATTTAAAATTCACTGTCTGAAACTGCAATTGCTTTTACATCAACCTAATATATATAGACTTTAAATTACCTATTTTAAATTCACTCAAAGATGGGGACAAGCAGATGGTGTGGTGGTTAAGTCACTAGACACTCCCACATGGCCGACTACAGCTCAAGTACCAGACCTGGTGGCTTACTTTCTCACTTTCTCTCTTTCTCTATGTCTCTCTCTCTGGTCAAATTAAAATAAATGAATGAATAAGTAAAATTAAATAAATAATTCTTAAAGCAAATGAACAAAAAATATTCACTCAAAGAAATGAAAAAAACCCATAAATAAAGAGCTAAAGAAGACCATAAAAATTATGTTTTATTAAATAAAGAATAGTAAAGAAGAGATAGATGAAAACTATAAAAAAAGGCATTAAAATGAAATACTGAAATTAAAGAAGTATAATAATTAAAATTTTAAAATTCACTGGAAGAGCCCAAGAGCAGATTTGAACAGGCAAAGGAAAAATCAGTGAGCTTAAATATAGTTCATTTCAGATTGTTCAGTTTGAGTAAATGAAATTTCAAAGAATGAAAAGTTAATTCTAAAAGACCCCTGGGATACCATCAAGCATATAAACATAGGCATGTTGATATTTAAACTTACCCTGGTCTCATTTCCTACTTATAATGAGGCATAATGAGATTCCCAGAAGGAGAAAGAAACAGAATGAATATTTGAAGAAATAACAGTGAAAAACTAAGGCACATTATATGCTAACAATGAAAAAACAAATACAAAAATAATTTTGAAAACAGCAAGGCAAAAGCAACTTGTCAACAGGAAAAGAGAGATCCTCAATGAGTTATTAGGTAATAGGATAAATTATAGTTTTTACATAAGAGCCAGAGGCCAGAACAATAAAAAGACATATTTAAAGTACTAAAAGAAAAAAAGAAATTGTCAGTTACTAATTCTGTATCTAGTAGGATTATCTTTCAAAAATAAAGAAGAAATTAAGACATAACCAGATAATCAAATAAGTGACAGAGCTTATTGCCAGTTAACCTACCCTATAAAAAATGCTAAAAGGGATGCTTTGGGCTGAGATGAATAAAAGGAAGCCATAATATATCAAACTTGTGTAATGTAATAAAGGTTGTCCTCAACCTAAAATTTATAGCTGTGAACCCCTACACTAAAATATATATATTGTGTTATAGAAAAAATCATGATTTTTTTGTTTTTCTATGCAAAAATGTGTCATGACTTTTCATACAACTATATATATATATATATGTATATATACACATTATATGTATATGAAATCTTAAATCTATAACATAATATTCTACCATAAAACTAGAAAAAAAGAGCAAACTAAACCCAAATTATGCAGAATAAGGAAAATAAAAAAATTAAGGTACATATATATGAAATAAATAATAGAAAACCAATAAATGAAATCAACAAAAAGAAAAGTCAATTCTTGGTAAAGATCAACAAAATTGATAAATATTTAACTAGCCTTACAAAGAAAAAAAGAGTGAAGCTGCAAATTGCTAAATTCAGAAAGAATACTAAAACTGGGCAAAACATCACAAGAAAGAAAACAACAGGCCAATATTCCTTATTAAATATAGTTGAAAAATCAACAAAATGTGAGTAAAGTGAATTCAGCAGTATATCAAAATAATTACCCATCATGACCAAGTGGAATTTAACTCATAACTTTAAGAGTTGTTCAACATAAGAAAATCAATCAATGTAATATATCATATTAATAGAATGAAGAAAAGAGTGCATTATCATCTCTGTAGACACCTAAACACCCAAAGATTTGACAAAATCCAATGCCCTTTTTTAATAAAACCAGTCAACAAACTAGGACTAGAATTTTTCTTAATCTGATAATGGGTATCAATGAAAGGCCCACAACTAACTACTCATTTAATAATAAGGATGTAGAGAAATTGAAACCCTATATATTGCTGAAGCAGTTTTGAAGTTCCTTTAAAATTTAAATACAGAGTTACTAAGTGAACCAGCAATTTCACCCCTAGATATGTGCCCGAGAGATTTAGAAACAGATATTCAAACAAATACTTACATATAAATGTTAATAGCAGCACTGCTGGTAATAGCCAAATATTTGTTAGATGATGAACATTAAAGAAGTGTGTGTTAATACAATGAGATATATATTATTTAGTTATAAAAAATAAAGGAAGTACTGGTACATGCTATGCCATAGATAAACCTTGAAACCTTTTACTTCTGCTAAGTGACAAGAAACCAGAGAACTAAGGTCACGTGTTGTGTGGTTTGGTTGATATGAAATATCCAAAATAGGCAAATCCAGAGAACATGCAAGTCCACAGAGATAGAAAAGAATGAGAAGCTGAAAGGGAAAGGAGTAGGACTACTTAATGGGTATGTGGGAGAGTTTTGGTGTGATGAAAATTATCTGGAATTATTAGGTTGTCAAGAAAGTTGTGGAGCATTTTTGCATAGAAAAACAGAAAAAATATAACATGACTTTCCTGGTGACCAATTGGTAGTAGTAGTTTTGGATATATTATAAATGATGCAGTTTAAAGTGATTAAATTGTGAATTTAAGCTATCATGAATTTTACATCAATTTAAATTTTAAAAATGCCATTTAGAAGAAACACCTTTGCTTCTGGTGTTACCTGTGCTTTCTCAATCCAAGGTCCTCACTACCTTCTCTTCACAATATTTTACATTTCCTAGTAGTGACTTTTGTTTCCTTGGAAGTGTCAGAAAGCCCGTGCCCTCCTGCCATTCTCTAGTGGCTTGACTGGAAAGCTACATTCTGAGTAGATGGCCACGTGAGCTGTAGCCAATAGATACCATCCCACAGAATTGACTGCAACACGGAGTAGTTTATACTGGGTTACTTCTAGGTGCTCACATCTCATATTCACTGAGATGACTGTGTTTCACTCTCTTCTAGGGGACTGAATAATTGTCTTGGTCTTTCTTGTCTCACTTCTATTTTTCTATTCTCTTTGTATCCTCTGATATGCCAAAATATTCTGCAGATTTTTTTTCCCTATCTTGAGCCACTTTCTGTCTCTCCAGCAAGCTCACGCACCCTATAGCAAAACCTCTAGAAAGAGAAAAAGAAAAGGAAAGGAAAAGGAAAAGAAATGGAACTCAGTCTTTGAGGAGTGCATGTAAAAATGTTAATTGTCAAATGAATTTTTACAACTAGCATGTAGTCTTAAGCAATGAACCTTTTTGAAAATAATACTTTTAGAGCAAATATTCTCTGTGAAACTAGTTCAATATCATCTTTGTTACCTGAAGGAAAAGGATCCCAGAATATTGCTACAACCATCTGGCAGCTAGGCTTTCTTTAACATTAAATGCAACAGTAATTAAAATATATTGTTTTAAAAGTTCTCTGTATATTTTTATTTAAGTAAATTGCATTGTATACTCATATTTCTAATATTCTGTACTTACTACTGCTAGTATAGGAGTATTACAGGAAATGATTACGTGTAAACTCAGAAAGAGGGGCTGACAGTGATACAGTGATAAAATACATGCTCGGCCAGACTCATATAGGATAGTTCTAGGTTCACATCCAGGGACCTTCTTCAGTATGGCAGGCATGCATGTGCCCATGATCTGGGGTTGGCTAAGACTGAGGGTGGATCATCAAGACTTTGTCAGGGATGTGGTCACTCTTTTGCCTTCATTCTCTCTCAGTATAAATAAAATAAATATTAAAAAATGCAAGAAATATATATACTTTTGTAAATAATATTCTACTAGCTCTTTATTTAATATCACACTCACATGTAGTATTTAGATGTAAATTCTTTACATTGTCTTTTGTCTGAAGTTCTCTCACTGCATTATGGTCTTTGGACATGGGGCTTCTCTGACAGTGAAATTACCACCAAGAAGAAAAGTCAGGTCAAAGAATACAGTGAGGTTGCATAAGTAAGAGTTATTTTGCCGTGTTTATGATTGGCAATTTTGTTGGCCAAGACACTTGAAAGGTATCTTCTAATGGTAAAAATATGGTAAAAGTTCTGTCTTATAAAGACACATGAAAAATATTCCAATTATTTCTTTTGACAGTGTTACTGACTTCCAATTATAAATCCCGATGTATTTGTAACTGACTTAACTGACAATTTTTTTCCTAAATGCTCCTATAATATTAAAGAGTGATGTCTATAGGCTTTTTTTTGCAGTAAGCTGTTATCAGTCACTTGACTGCAAGCTACTTAGGAAAGTCTTACACATCTTCATATTCTCTGTATTGACCGTAGTAGGCTGTCAATATTGCTGAACAAAAGTTAAACATTTTTATAACCGCTACACAATATATCTGTTTTGGCATAAATGGATTTTCATATGTTAAACTGCTTAAAATGTTTTTGAAACAAAACTCTATCACTATGTCACAAGAAGTTTTGTACTTTTATTTATTTATTTTTTCAAATCTGTATTAATGAACCAAGACTCTGCCTTATGTCACAGCTGGGTATTGAAAATCACTCCTTTAAGTCCCAGCACTGCTAATTCCCTGACCGGCTTCCCTAGGAAAAGATATTCTTTTAAGTCTGGCACTCTGCTGTAAACACACTCCTGTTTATTCCAGCTAATGAGAAACAGGCAGTCTGGAAATGTGTCTCTGAGGAAAATACTGAGCAAATCTTTAGAAAATCGAGCTCTCCAAATTGATCGAAAAGTAACATTGGGTAAGATGTAAGCAAAGTTATAATATCAAGCTCAAAAGAACATAAATATCGGATGTGAAATT